TAACCACTGAGCTATTTTGAGATGGTGGAAACATTAAGGAAATTATCTGACTATTCACCAGCGCTCAAATAATTTAGGATTTTAGCATGTGCCAAGCACAGCAAGATTCATTTGAAGAAGACCACCTTGGGGTGGGTCTATTTAAATCACTTCCACAGGAAAGCGCTCAATCGTACAAAAATCACTCACTCCTTTGGTACTTTCAACACTGAATAGATTTAATGTTTTACAGTTCGTAACATTGATGATCTGAGAAGTGAGTGCAGATAGATGTATAATACAATATCCATGAGCTGTTGAAAACTCCTAACCATAAACGAGGGATTCAGCTAGATGCTGGTGAGTCTCCGTCAAAACAAAATTGGTATGCAGTTGCGTGTTTAGATTGAATTAAGTGTAGATATTACAGGAAGACCACCCCAGAGGAGACTGTGAGCATTCTTCATTAGAAAGTGTTTGAGATGAAGCTCTGTGTATCGAATGCCATGGTCTGTGGGCACTAAGCCATTAGGTTCATGGCTCAGTCATGTCTGCGCCTGTCTCCAATGGTCCAGTTATCCCGCCCCGAGATTCACCTCTCTGGGAGTGGCAGTTACTAACTTACCCGACGCTGCTGGTTACAGCTTTTCTACTTAATTGTTGGACCATGATTCTGTCTCTGTATCGGACCTATCTTTGGCAGGATTGTGCGTGAAAAGCTCTCCGGGGGGAGGTCGATCTTCCAGCGGTCGAAATGACTAATCAGCTCTGTGCAACTTAACGATTACCATCGGTTCACCTCCCATGAGTTCTTGACCAATTTTGGCGTTCGTGAGTAGTAATCTCACAAGCCTTAGACAATACCCCCGATACGTCGATGCTCAAATAGTAAAACACCGGAACGCTTGTAGAGGGTAGGTCTCTGACTCACGTAAAAAGGGGAGAATATTAAGTAGTTGGGGTTATAACCATGACAGGTATGATGCTGTAATCTGTAAACGACAGGTGCTTCAGGTTAACCCTCTCTGTCCGGAAGATGATATCGTCTTTAATTAAACACAGAACGAAACAGCTAAATAAATCCATCTATCACTTCAATAAGCTTTTGACAAAGCATAGGTTTCTTGGTTGATTAGATCAACTTGCTCTATAGTTTTCACACGTAAAGCGCACACATATACAAACAACTGGATTGCTATTTCGAACACGTTCGATCCAAGAAGTGGAAGTTTTCTTTGAATTCCGTTTTCGCGCCAAAGCTCCGTGGATAACCGGGATGCTTCTTTGACCGCAATGATTGCAAATTCCAAGATGGAAACAATGAACACGAATGCTAATATTTGCCCAAACCCTTCACCGGTCAAGAGTTTGTGCTCAGCATTCCTGGACGGAGTGAAAAGTAGCTTTCGCGTTTAGTTACCGAAAATAGCCTGGCTGTTTGCGAATCTGTCGAAAAGTAATCTATTCAGTGTCATTCAGGAGAAATTATGACCTGATGTGGCTGGATTTCCCTCAGTCTGCGAGAGATGATATCACTGAAGACTCTGGACGCTCAGAAGAATGTGACGCGATGGATGCCACACTGTTGAAGATTAGAATATATTTCGAGTTTTATCCTTCTGGAATTCAGTTTCCTCCCGTCTATATAAACGGCACAGTTGAGTTCCGTCAAGTTGGTCACCACGTCTCCCACGCCCTCTCTAAATAAATTTTAGCACGATGTATTCGATTCAACTTTAACAAGATATTTCACGTTGCACTTCTTTTCATGATAGGCAATTAAATTTCAGACTTCATTAAAATGTTTTCACCCCAGTGGATGAATTGCAAAATACTTGTTAGCCTGTCGTTTAAGTTGCTGGACGTACCTTTTCAAATGAAGTTTCTTTGGCTGAATTTCTAAATTGACTTTTCCGCTGTCTTCATCCAGTTGGTCGACCGACTTAGGTATGTAACGTTTCTGGCGTGAAAGTTTTCTTCGTTTCCCATGCTTTCCCTATTCATCCATCGAACACCTAATTATATAGTGTGAAGCTGATGATTGTAAAAGTGATTTTTAAACTGAACTGAACTCTTGTTGTCGTTTATTAGTTCCTTGCCTTTAGCCATTCACTGTCAGCCACGATCTGCCTTCAGACAGTAATTTCTCATTGTATTCCAAGGTGACTTTTTCGTGAAGAAGTATGCAAGAATAGCCCGGATCCCCGGCGCTCACAAAGCACTATCAGCAGACAATTTTGAATATAATCATGGAAGAACTTAGGAATTTGTGTACTAGCGACTTCCTTAGTGCCGCACGGCCTTTAGTTCAGGATGCGTCTCTGGTCCTTGCGTGATCACCTGCGGAGAGAAAGACAGGAAAGAGTTTCCAAAGAGTAGAATTGTCAGAAAAAGCACCAGACATCCAACTGACCTCATCTGGTGTATCTTTGAGCCCGCTTATATGGCCCTCAAACTTACATATGCGGTCCACCGACCTACTGTTAGTATATCATTTTGATAGTGGTAATTACTGACCAAAGGTCCCCGTGGCAAATATGAATCCTTATTAGTGCAATGACGCCCGCTATGTCCTCGTCGGACGCGTGTATCATTGTGTAGAAGACCCAAATGCCAAAAGAAAATCCATCATACGCTGGTGCCAGAACCGCCCGGGTCCGGCTAGCCGAAGGCAACAGCGGTGCCAGAACCGCCCGGGTCCGGCTAGCCGATAGGCAACAGCTCTCGCACCATCGTACCACGATGAAGAGGGGTAACCTTGCAAGAGCTATCAAATCATTTGGAGTGTGTTGGGTTATGCGACCGACTAGTCTAATTCCGTCGACCTTCAAAAGAAGGTTACGTAGAAAACGGAACGTTAAGCACAGGGTAAAAGGTTCTCACTTCCTCCAAACTGCCATCACATAGAACAGTACAAATTTAACCTCAGACTATAGTAGGACGATAGAAGATGGTCATACGAGGAGATTTGTCGAGTTGCGGACAACAGGTACAGCGCCTGGACGGTTTTTATGAACTTGTCAAGACCGCTGAATGTAAACCGCTTCGCAGCTGACGACTACTCAGTGGTGTTGCAGATAGATGTCACTACTGATAGTTTGTTTTTGGGTGCGCAAAACCCAAAGAGACAAGAATTCCTGCGTGACAAGACAGATTTAATTTCGCCATCTTGCGACTTTTCTACATTTGCTTCTTTTATACATGGACTATCCCGTAAAACAAAATTGCCAGCTAGATTCTGTGCAGCCCATGAAGGCGTGAACAAGATGATACGTTTTCGCGCAAGCAAAGCCAAGTCCACCACTTGCGAACTTCTACATATACTGGTTAACAAACGTGCTCATTCTTCCTTCTTTTCCGGAACTGGAAGTTACGCTAGTTTCTGAAAATTACCAGCTTGACATTCCCTCTCTGGACCGGTTCATTAGTTAAGTCGTAAGTGAAGTAACTGTTTGTGTAGCAAGCGGCACGCTAGAGTAGGTCAGTAAGACACCCTCAATTGATGTAATAAATACAGTTCATTTGTAGGTCTACTCAACCAAACTAACAATAACTCCTCTGCCCGCCGAATGACAAGCTGTTAGTTTAGACTGACCAGAATGTTACGTCAGTTTTTGTGGGATTTACTTCAACCTTTTTCCGACAGAGTAACCCTGACCCCTTCGTCAGACATGGGGTCTTTGACGTGCTTCTGAGGTCTAAATTCAGACCATAAGTAGTGTCATAATATGTTGCTTAGGGTTTCAGGTTTACGTATGAGATGTCCTAGTGGCACGCCTTCTAACAGTGTCAGTCGCTCCTCACACACGTGGCGTTTGAGCGCTTCGGTGACCCGTTTTACCAGTCTTATTCCTGAGATATAGGAAAAATGAGTATTCATCTGTTAGGGTACATACTTTGCCGCAGCCACGACCTCGGTAAGTTTCATTTAGGTTTTGCCAAAATCATTTGAGCTACTAATCTCAATTGCAAATAGTCACTCCGATGGGTAAACGGAAGAGCCACCGGAAGAGCGATACTCAAGAGGGAAAACGACTTTAAAACCGCGTGAAGAATCCTATTGCAGGTATAAACTCGCCTGACAGCACAATGGTGAACTCTCCTCGCCTGGAAACAAAATGTCTACAAGTTGGTCGACAAACTCAGCGAACAGATCAACGGCTACCTGGTCAAAACCAATGAACCATTGATACGATAAATTCAGAGTGGAAAGTTCGCCGAAAGCGAATACAGAACTGTTGAATGTAGCTCCGTCTAGCACTACTGGTCTTGAGACCCAATGTTTTCCGTGCATTTTTTCAGTTTTTACTGACTAATCCGGTATCTTGTCAGACCAAACTGCACTTCTGAAGCCGCGCGATCATTGAACATGAGGAATAAACTGTTTGATCAGGCGTACGGTTGACAAGGTATTCGATTTCCAACCTCCCTTGTATTGATGCCTTACTATCTATTGTGTGATATTAGTGTGATATTCAGCAAGCTTGACGGTGATGTTTCCACTCATTTCAACCGGCTTATTCTTTTCGCAGCCAACATAAAGCGAAGTTTAAAGTTTCTGCTGCTCCGACAACATAGTCATTCGGGATAAATAATTCATCCGAGGCCTTGGGGAGAGGGTCGTTTCGTCGTAGTGGGACCTCATAGTAATTCAACAGGTTACATCCCCCGTCCCCGTTAATTTACCTCCCCTTAATAATGCTTTCCCTCGTAACAAACTCAAGCATTCACATAGGTAGCAACCAATTTATGTTACGCTGTTAAAACTGGTTAGCCAGTAGTGTGTGACTCGGCTCCTACTTCAAGTGTTATTATTACTTACGTCTTTTTTATCACTTGAAATTTCAAAAAGCAGAAGCAAACAAAACACTACAAGAAGCGCAACAAACAGAAAAGCCACCACAGGACGCTACCCAACAGTCACAAAGCAAAGCTGCAACCTCCAGTCCTGACCCGAGATCGGGTACTACGGGGGGGAGTAGTGGCCCAGGAGTGGCACGTAGAAATATTCGACAGGTGTACTCCACAAAAGCACAGGATTTTCAAGTAAGTAATGACTTGTGTTTTTCTCGTGTTAGTTTACTCCCAACGAAAGGAGACTTATGTTTTCCAGTTGTTTGGCATCATGTCAGCACGAATCGGTGCGAGCGAAAAATCCACTCAGTAAGAGAGCTGAAGACAATAAGTTTCCCGATCTTGTCTGGCCCTGGTTGGGTAAGCATTCTTCGTGAGACGTAAAAACTATGTAAACGAGAGCTTTAGCTGGGTTTCAGCTGAGTCTCCCGTCGAGCCATAAATAAGTGTATTTCCTTAATTTTCTGCAATTAGGTTTCAACTGGAACATAAGTTGACAGAACCTCTGGGACTACGCCTACCTGATGAGTTTCACAAAGGGTGAAACCGATCGTGGGCTGTCGAAGAATTTTCAGCAACCTTATGAGCAGTGCATCACGTCTACACATGTATCGCAATATCTCGAATCTCGTAGTAATTGGGACATGAGGCGGCCTAGTGCAGCACATTCAATTGCTTAGAAACACCATAAACGAGAGATTTAGCTGGGTTCCGGGTGAGTTCCTCGCAAAACTACATTTGTTTGCAAACAAGTGTATTTCATTGGATCAGCTACATTTATTGAGCTTTCGTCTGCATAATGCAAACGAAAATGCTGATGCTTCCGGATGGGATTCGAGTGGAACATGTTAATAATGTGTGCTTAGTTCTGTACAGTGACGACCAGCCATTGGCTTTAAAACAAATCACGTGTTCAAGGAAATTTTTCGCAACAAAATAATTACATCTGATTGTAGGGTGACTCACTGGAAATGCACCAGAATATCCGGAACTCGGGTGAGTTCATTGGCTGCCAGTCAGCTGGCTGTTGACCTGATCGTCGAGCCAACCGACCACGCACTGATGTCAGCTCCATTGGTGACGAAGCGTTTGCAAGTTAATTGCCAAGCTCGACGGCTACCTGAGCAACCACCATTAAGAATCATGGAAATTGTGATTTTCACTAGTGAAACGCGGCACAATACCCATTAATTGAGCAACTAAAGGACAAGTGGAAACATAGGGGTAAAATTATTCCGCATTAAGAATCATGGAAATTGTGATTTTCATTGGTGAAACGCGGCACGAAGCCCATTAATTGAGCAACTAAAGGACTAGCGAAAGCATAGGGGTAAAATTATTCCAGTCTCTCCAACGAGCCGTGTTCCTAGAAGTGACTTGAGCATACCTGCTCAAAAAGCAAGGGAGGGCTTTTCGGTGAGTTCTTTTGGTGACAAAAAGAGGATTCCTACATTCTAATGACCCTCAGCTCCGTTGCTGTTAGAGGAATTTGATGGGGGAGGGCATTGGAGCCATTGGATGGTACGTAATCATCGAGATCAGAACCATACATACATACAGTATCGGTCAATTGTCATAAAAACATAGGAAAAGAAGTCTTAGTAAACGATGAAAGGAGTAGTGAGTGACGAGACCTACCGCAAACAAACACAGTTACTCATATGGTTGCTAAAATATCTTCGATACGCCATTGGTTTTCACGGGAGACTCAACTGAATATTTCGTTTTCATAAACCTTGTGAGTAGTTTCCTTTACGAAAATATACTGCGATATCTCTACTATCTCACCAACCGGAACACGAGGCGGCCTTTGTGCAGCTTATTCAGTTGAAGAATATTACAAACGAGAGCTTCGGTTGAATCTCCCATGAAAACCCAGTTGATACGCAAATGAGTGTGTTTGTCGAAATCTGTTCAAGTAGAACCCGGAAACTCGGGAACTGTGCCTACTGATGGACCCCAAGAAGGGAGAAAAAGGAGTGTGGGCTATGGATACGTTTTCAGCAACCTTTATGAAAAGAGACATCCCATGTTATACAAACATTAGACGACTGATATCCACAGGAACACAGCGGGGCCTGTACCCCCAAGTAACCGGAAAATATTTACTGTTTCAAGATTCGAAATTTTTACCTCTTGCATTCTATGCAACAAAGCCCATTCAATGAGGGACGTAGCTACTACTTAATGGTCCACGAGGTCTTCCAGTTGCCCAAAGGCGCCAATACTGAACATGCTCTATACCAGCTGGTTTGTGTCTTTCTGTGCCATATGCCTCAGGGGGGGCTTCTGGACTCAAGTTACAGTATTGTCCTACGTTTGTGTCGCTTATACGCAGTGAAGCATGGTTTGCAGTGTTCTTCAGGAGTTGGGATTCTTCCAGAGATTATTCGATTGAACCGATGTCTGGAAAATTCCATGTGCTAACATTCACCTACCAAGAGATTTTTACAGACCAGCCACGCTTGTCAGTCTGTCCGAGTTATGTTGGTTGCTTCTTCACTTCATCGTCAATTCAGTGTTACCAGTCTCGAACGACGCATCAGTGTCCCTAACACAACCGCATCCTCAACGAGACGTCACCTTGTAGTCTGCCCAATATCCAAAGGCTTCGCCCCAGGAAAGTATATTTTTCACTTGCAAGCAATAGGCTTTGTTGGTTTGTTCTGTCAGGTACACTGCTTCCTGAGCTCTCCGTTGGGGGAGGGCGATCCCTATTCGTGGAAAAATCTCGTTACTGACATGTTAGCCTTGGGGTGGCTCCTGGAAGTTGTGTTGTATATGCTGCTAAGACGCTGGACCTCTCGACTGACAAGCGCACCGCTGAATCACTCCAGACACTGGAGAGAGCAAAGTTAAGACCAACCTCGACGGAAGCCGTGTGACAAAGTTTGACAAGGCTTGACAAGGATAAGGTCATGTTCTGAGTGGGACAACTGGCGGATGTCAACACAAGTGACTAAGCCCACACACGCTGTTCACACGACAATTGGGCCAAGCCGAATTTCGCACCTTCACCGTCTCATGTCAAGGATTGTTCTGTTTATAGCTAGAGTTAATCCCACAATGTACTCTGCTTCAAATAAAAGGAGTTGCGCAAGCATATCTTTGTAATGTACTACTCGTAAGGTTGCTGAAAATCCGTCGACAGCCTACAACCGGTTTCGCCCTTTTTGGGTCTCATCAGATAGGCGCAGTCCCCGGGTTTCCGTTGACCTTATGTTCTAATTGTAACCAAAATTGCACGAAATTAGCGAATATACACTTATTTGCAAACTGATTTGGTTTTTCGCGAGACTAACCTGGAACCCAGGTGAATCTGTCGTTTGTGATGTTACCAGGCAACTGAATTTGCGGCACCAAGCCGCCTCATGTTTCAGTCGCTACGATATTTGAGATATCGCGATACATGTATATCTTTGTAATGTACTACTTATAAGGTTGCTGAAAATCCGTCGACACTCCACGACTGGTTTCGCCCTTTTTGGGGCTCATCAGATAGGCGCAGTCCCCGAGTTTCCGTTGACCTTATGTTCTAATTGTAACCAAAATTGCACGAAATTAGCGAATATACACTTATTTGCAAACTGATTTGGTTTTTCGCGAGACTAACCTGGAACCCAGGTGAATCTGTCGTTTGTGATGTTACCAGGCAACTGAATTTGCGGCACCAAGCCGCATCATGTTTCAGTCGCTACGATATTTGAGATATCGCGATACATGTATATCTTTGTAATGTACTACTTATAAGGTTGCTGAAAATCCGTCGACACTCCACGACTGGTTTCGCCCTTTTTGGGGCTCATCAGATAGGCGCAGTCCCCGAGTTTCCGTCAACCTTATGTTCTACTTGAAACCAAAGTGCACGAAATTAGCGAATATACACTCATTTGCAAATCAGTTTGGATTTCACGGGAGACTCGATTGAATCTCTCGTTTCTGATATCCTCCAGCTGAATGTGCTGCACACAGGCCGCCTCATGATTCAGTTGGCACGATATTCGAGATATCGCAGTATATTTTCATGAAGGAAACTACTCACGAGGTTGCTGAAAACTCTTCGACAGCCCACGACCGGTTCCGTCCTTCTTGGGGCCCATCAGGAGGCCCTTGTGAGGATCAACCTTGTGAGTAATTTCATTTATGAAAATGTACCGCCTTTAAAGCTTCAAAAAGTATACTTGCGATATCAGAATGAAGAAAGTGAGGGCAATAGCCCTCCGAAAGTCCAACTATTCACCCTGGTTGACAATTAGATTTTCTCATTTTACTTGCCGTGACAGCGTAAAGCAGGAATTATCCACAGCTTTTGCAGACTGGTACACAAAGTTGTCTATTCTGCAGAATGCCAGAACAACCTTTATCTACGCATGAACATATACAAACGAGTTGTCCAAATGAACATGAACGGTACATATCCCGCAAACCCCACAAACAAGTTATATCGCCTTTGGCAACAACACACCAGACTGAACCAGCTTTCTCGCTCATTGAAATGTAGGGAACTGTGCTACAGGTGCTGGCTATGGGAACACACAGAAATCAATTGCTGGAGCACTAGTGAAGGGGTGCGAACAGCAACCAAAATTTATATTACTTGGTAAATTAGTCGTTACAGATATTCTTCCTATCTGTTCTGATCGGTTCCGCCAAACTCCTAGTGTGATTTTCCTTGTTAATCGCGGGAACAACCAAAAGAGTTTATCCCCACCCTATTGTTTTTGAGGTTTCTCCTCTATGAATTAAGAAGTTGAGTAGATTGCGCATGAATATGCATTTCTATTTGTGGCCGGACATCTGTTGGCCAGATTGTACACATCAAACCGAGCTTTTTGGCGGTAAACACACAATAACACAACATTTTCGGCATTGGACATCAAAAGGAGGCTGACGATGCTGCTTTCTGCTAGTCTGCTGACGTTCCGTACGATCCGAAAAACTGGGTCACTCAACACCATCTAATGATACGCCTATTAGAAATCTAGATGGTTTGCAGTCGAAACGACATCTAGACGAATGCACATCGCCCGTGTCGAGGAAGAGAACACGGTGGAGGACGACATCATGCTCATCGTAAAATTCCGACTCCCTCCCAAAATAAGCGAATGCAACGACAGCAGACAAATCCTCTGCGTCCGTAAAGTAAGAGATGCGGAAAAACTAAAGCAGTCCGTCAAAAGTGATACTTGAAAAGTTTATGGTGTTGTTGTAGTTATGTGAACCAATGACTTCAGAATTCAGATGGGCTCTTATCCATACATCGACCTCCCAAAGTCCTGATACATAGTTGTCCCACTTAATATTTACTTAAATTTATCCCGTTCACGCGTTCGAATCACCAATAAATTCATAAGAAATATGCCGAATCCGTTGAGACCTGAGGTTATCCTAAAAAGTGTAGGGTTCCGTGTACTATACGTCCACCTCAAAAACCTGGAAAATATGGTTAAAACTTCCATTGACTCTGAAAACTATTTATCCAAAACCCTTATTTCCTAGCCTGGCCTATATCCTAAACTCCGGTCTAGGGATTAGCGCCGATTCTGTCTTTTTTCAAATAAATGGCTTGTAATAACATGTTTTCAAAAAAACGGCATTGTTTCTTTTCAGATTCGAGTGAAAGTCGTCGAAGCGCGTCAACTACAAGGAGGCAATGTATCCCCTGTTTGCAAAGTCACCTGTTGGAATAGAACGGAAGAAACACACGTGAAAAACTCCACCAATTCACCGTATTGGAACGAAATATTTTTCTTCAATTTCCACGAATCTCCAGCTGATCTACTTGATCAAACGATCACATTCAGTGTGTACAACTCACGGCATATGCGCAAAGATGCCCTAATAGGATCGTTCAAGTTTGATCTGGCCATAGCATACGAGGAAGCGATGCATAGTATGATTAACAAATGGCTACTTCTGTGTAACCCGGATGATCCCTTGGCTGGTGCTAAAGGCTATTTGAAGATCTCTATCATTATCCTTGGGCCAGGTGATGAAGCGCCGGTAAGGGTTTTACCCGCTTGAAGGTGAAGTTCATTGTTCATGTCATAACCAAGTATGGAATGCAATAACTCACACTCGAAATTTTTGTAGATACAGTGAGTTGTGTTTACTTTTCAACGTTTATCAGGTGAAATGTGGGCTGGAAGTCAGAGCTGGGAAAAAAGCTCTTGTGCGAGCAGCGATAGTGTTTGTACCCAAATACTAATTCATAGAGAAGAGGAACACAATACAGTTTGAATCGGCCTCTTAATACGGTCCAGTAAAGGCTAAGGATTTATTCAACCTTATTTCTTAGATAACGATGCCAGAGTTGAGCGAAGCTGTTGGGATGAATAAGGTCCAGTATACTGTAAAAACGCTAGAACGATGTGTCACAAATGTGTATCAAGTTATCTTTGTCAGAGAATTCGCGAAACTGCCATAATGGTGTAACACATCAGTGAAGACAATGACCTTCTGAGACTAGGTTCTACGTGGTCTACAGTTCAGTGAACCTACTGTTCCTTGGCTTCAAGGAACTAGACCATCTACTAGAAAATAAGTCTAAAATTATTACATCGTTATTACATTATTACATTCTTTTTACCCACACAGAGTATGAAACCGGTGGACGTGGATGGTGAAGAGGATATCGAGGCGTAAGCAAAGCAAACCGATGTTCACGTGATTATTCTCTCATCTAGAAACCTTTTACGGCCAGCCGGTGTGCAATTGCGCCCAGCTATTTTCAAAATTCGGTTATATCTGGCCGAAGATCTTCCTAGAAGTAAGTGAATCAGACTTTGTATGCTTAAATACCGCATCTCAAGCCTCCTCCATCCATGTTCCAAATCACATTTCATTGTAGAATAATCAAACGGGAGAAAGACTGGAAAGAAAATCTATGTTTGGTAACTACTGAGGGCTCCCTTTGAGGGAGTCCCGAACTGGCCCCCAATTGATGAGGGAGAGTGCTATGAACTATCTAGCGGAGTTCCTTCTGTTTTGATGGAGCCTTCACTAAGGATTTCTTGTGTACGTAAAACGAAATGGTATTCAGCATGCCAGGTGTTCCCTCTGTTCAACTTTTGACAGGGCTGACTGCATCCAGCAAAGTATGAACCGCACGCTGCTTGCAAAGCGTTCCAGAAGTTAAGCGAACCAAATAGATGATCTAATTTAAAGGTCAGAGAAAAAAGCGTTGTCTGGAGACGCATGCCGATTCCGCTATACTATGCTAATCACAGGGGCGGCAAAAAGTGAGCTTCAGTGAGGGTCGAGCAGACAGCCGTTTCAAAACGATTTGTGGTCTCTGTCGTGCTGCTTGGGTGTGCCCCAACCTTAACAATTTATTATCCAAAACGTCCGTTTCCCTTATTCACCGTTCAGACTACACCAATGAAAGAATTCCACCCTTGTTCTCTGACACGACAACTTACTCTGATCCTTACATAGATCGAATCATGCTCGAAAGTTTCGACAGTCAGTTCAGGAGCAAACATCAATCTGACACTATACACGATCTGTTTTCGTGATATGTACCATTGTTATGGGACATGATTTTACTCTTTTACTTGTTTTAGTGGACCCAGATACGTTTCAAGGAATAAAAAATCTAATGTCCCGGAACGAAACCGAAAAAGAGTTTGTCGATCCATATATGATATTGAACTTTGCGGGCAAAACGGTAGGTCTACAACTGTGTTTCCACGTAATCTTTCTATCCACTTTTTAGCTCAAGTCGTCAATCAAATATGGAACCGATCATCCAGAATGGCACGAAGAACTAATTATGAACCTGCAGGTCCTGAAAAAAAACAAATTTTCTTCTGAGATTTTGTCCTCTGAGTGAATCCAGTCTATGGTGAAAAGCCGGAAGGCATTGTACAGCTATTTCATCCTTATTGGGGATCATCATCAGGCTAATAGTTTGAACACTTAGCCGTTTGGCCACAAGTGGCTGTTCAACAGGGTGATTAACTCGCACTCAGACAGGATATAGTGCCGTTCATCCTTCAATCATAGAATCCGCATCACGTGGTCACGTGATGGACTCGAGTGACGGCTTCTCAGATGGAAATGAAATCATCCTTCCTGTGAATTAATTATTGCTTGATATACACAGACAACATGGTATCTTTCTTGTTCGTCATTTCGTTCTGCTAAACGAGCGGAACAAAGGATGAACGTAATGTTTACCACCGGTCCATCAGCGACCCATACAAGTCAGCCGTCTAAGATGAACAACCCTGGTAGTAGACCGCTTTTGATCAGCCGTTTCGACAGACTCCCATAAAGGAAGAAGACCCTCGTAAACGAAGGGTTCAGTCGGATTCAGCTGAGTCTCCGGTTAAAACCAAACCATTATGCAAATGATGGTGCTTGTAGGCTTTCGTTCAATTTGGATTAAACCGATCGTATGCTACCAAAGATACTGTGATACGTCTACACAATTGTGCTTTTATCTGGAATGAATGTTTATTGCAGCTGAGCACCAGTTGGCGCTATCAGCTCTATGCATGTCAGTCTTTACCACGTGAGCATTTAACTCACGGAAAAGGAAGCTCAGATGACATTCTATAAAAAGCTCATTGAGTAGGAATCCGAAACAATAGTTCGGTAAAGTCCAGTGACCCTTCAGTTTTTTTCCACACTGCAAAAATACTCATATAAGAAGCCACTCTACAAAGCAGATCACTGTGGTCAGTTTCTTAATGTGTTCTTTATGGAAAGAAATAATCTTATAGTACGGTTGACGGGAGAAGGAAATCGCTTGCTCAAAGAATCTTTCCGGGAAATTTTGCACAATTGACCTTAATAAGGACAGAAACAGAAAGTCTCTTGATGTTCACTCTCCACTAGTAAACAGAACTACTGGAGTTCAACAGTGATTCCCAGGTTGAATTTCCTAACTTGTGCAGGCTTTTCCGATGAATTGTACTGATTGGGAGCGAATTGTAAGATCAGTGTGCCAGACTTGTGCTTAAAGGTCTGAGTCTATCAGAATTATTTGTCTTTTCCGCATTTCAGTTCCCCTCCATGTGTGAGAAAATCAAGTTGACCTTCTTTGACTGGTAAGCTCTGCTTTAATTCCAGTTAGTCTGCTAAGAAAGTACTCAAAACATTAAGTTACCTTTGCTTCTGTGAGTTCTTTTCTAGATCTGTAGAACGGAGAATAAGATGAAGCCGCTATGCGGACAGCGCAACTGAAGAGCAGCTGTGGAGGCACTATCTGTGGTAGGAGAGACACTCTACAGCATTCGGGCAAAATAGCCATAACTTTTAGTTTTCAACGAGTCTAATGTCATTTACCATGCAGATTAAGCAACGCTGTTATTTGCGGAGTGCGCTAGTAAAAATCTCAGCCACTTTGTCTATCTATCACTTCAACACCAAAGTGATGAGAGGAGTGCACAATGGCCACCGAAAGTGTTAAATTACGGAATTTGCGGATTTTCATTGAATGGTGCATTCCCAAAACTTAGGCCATCGTGTTTCCTAAGATTTGCGTAGAAACTTTGGGGACACCTAGTCCCAAGGTCAGTGACGCACCACCAAGAAGTTTAGAGTTGACTGGGGCTATTCAGAGCTCGGTTTGAAAGCGTCCCATCACTCTAGTCGATTCCCCAAATGGTCCCAATAACAATGCTATGTAGTCCACAAAATTTTAGATCATCTCCTTCACCTATACAACTTAGCTTTGATCTGCGTAGTTTCTTTGAATAGCCAGGTGTTCGCAGGGACGGTGCCTTATACCTGAGTTACAGGCTTACAATCCCGTGGATTGGTTAACAAAGTGGTCGTATGCCATGGTTATCATGTAGCGCGGCAGAATAAAGCGCGACAATATCATTATTAGTCATTATCATTATCACCCTGTTTCTCCCCTTAGGTAGCATGGTGTAGTTTGATGCTTTGATTCCACATCTGATCGCTCGCGCCAGCTGCCCACGTGGTTTGACTGATTTAGCACAAATAAATGAGAGCCCCACTGCGGTCGCACCATTTTGTATAGGAACATACTGGAACATACCTTGTTTGTCTCTCTATTGACCCATATTCTCACTCAGCTCATGTATGTACGGATCTGACGATCAGTGTTTTTGTCAAAATGTGTTGCTTGACCCTAGTACTGTCCCAATCGATCCATTTACTCTTTAGGGACCGAGCAACAGAAGACGACCCAATAGGTACAACAACAATCAGTCTAACGGAAACTTCAGCTCAAGGTGAAAATGGTAAGTGCATTCAATCGTTTTTTTGTTTACCAGGAACACGCTGGTTGCAATTCATCCATCACATCAGCAGGACATGATGGTCCGTTTTCGGTGCGTCACGAACAAATTTTTAGAGTTGTAAAATATTGGGGGCTGCTTCAGTGTTCTAAAGTGCATTCTCCGCGTCCGATACTCATCTACTCCTAGCAGAATCACTTTACTCTAGCTGCCAATTATGATAACGTCACCTTGACTGGCACCAACCCGGTACTGCTTTGCTTATGTCACACTCTGAGCTTAATATCTTTCGGTTTACCGAATGTCGATTTTGTGGTTTCTAGACACTAAATAGCGAGCGCCAAGTTACACACTGAATAATACAGCCAGCCGTCTCAAATTTATTAATGAGACACGAGAAGTAAAATGCGAACTGATCGACGGAGCATAGCTGATCGAAAAACGATGACCGGAGTCTATTCATTGTTAAAAGAATTACGCCCATCTTTAAACTTAAATTTAACTTTGGTAAGCACCTCAAATTTGCTCTAAAAATCACTTGAGGCTCTGCAGGCGTTTCAGTGGACAGTGGCCTTTGATGCGAGGGCGTCGGCACCACATTCCCCGTAGTCACATCAATCGCATCACCAGGTTTTCTTTCCCGTCCCTCAAATTTCGCTGTATCACAGTGGCCTGAGGAGATTTTCGATGAACTGGACTGGCTACCGACTGCAGTGAACCAAGGTGGCATGCCCACTCAGCCAACGGATGGGCGAAGCGGCGATTTTTTTCGTCGTAGCAAACCCAGGAATTTGATTGGACCAAAAGGGTGAGAAACGCCGCGTCCCTTACCTTCATTTGATTGGCTAAGACCCTCACGACCCAAGCACGCGTACCATGTGACCTCACGCCGGCAGCGTGCCTACGGAAGTCGGCCTGTCTACACACACTGCGTAGAGTCAATTCGAGCGGAATAAGCGAACCACACCGATTTGCACGCCAATTTGGTTTTCACGGCAGGCTCACCTGGAGCCCAGCTGGATCTCCCGTTTACGATGTTTTTAAGCAATTGAATGTGTCACCTCATGTTTCAGTTGGTACGATATTCGAGATATCACGATACATTCTATGGACGTGATGCTGTTTTCATAAGATTGCTGAAAGCCCTTCTACAGCCCACGACCGGTTTGGTCCTTCTTGAGGCTCATCAGGCAAGCGCAGCCCCCAAGGTTCCATCAACCTTATGTTCTACTCGTAAGCTGTCGAACAGTTTTTAGCACCCTAATGAGTAGGGAGTTACGTATAATTTGAACGGACTCCACATGTTCAACAAGCCTACTAACCGCGAAAGAACGTTATACCACAGTCAGCTGATGTGTGGATCTCGATCGATTCCACTGAAAGATCTCAACAAGAGTAAAACAGTCGCTCATTCATTTTTTTCTTGAATATCCCTGGATTTCACACACTGGTCCATCCCAAGATCACATACATATATAAGGGACCGAGCAAAACTACTCACTTCATAGAAATCCCCAAGTTTTCGAAAGCAAAACTAACGCTGGAAATAGAACTAGCATCGAAATATATCCTTGAATAACCAAAACATACAGAATGGATCAAACTGTCGTAAAACACTATTCAAAGTCCCTTTTCAAAAATCCAAACAATTAGGTTTGACACGAATCTAAATCAAGAAGGATTCCTTTCGCTATTTTGGAACACTCTATATAATACCATTGTATAGGGTAACCATTTAATCTGATCGACTTTGGATACCACGATCAAGGCTTAGCTCGTGGTAAGAGTGTCATAATAGTTAGTTTTCATGCTATCCATGAGTATC